CCCCAGCCCCTCACTGGGGGATTCTAGGCAGGGGCTCTACCACTGAGCCACACTCCAGCTCCTCACTGGGGATTCTAGGCAGGGACTCTACCACTGAACCACACCCCAGCCCCTCACTGGGGGATTCTAGGCAGGGGCTCTACTACTGAGTCACACCCCAGCCCCTCACTGGGGGATTCTAGGCAGGGGCTCTACCACTGAGCCACACTCCCGGCCCAAGTTGAATTTGTAACAAACTCCCACAAGCTCCCTACCTGGTGCCTTGCTCACCTAGGAAGTACTACCCAGAACCATCCCTTGAAACAGCTTTCGTCAGCGGGGTTGCCATGGTGAGGAAAGCCACACTGCCATGACAACCTGCCTGCCTTTCCCTCCTACATCACCTCCTGCACCAAGCCGCAGGACGGAGCTGCCTACCCTCACACACCCTCACACGTCCACATCACCTGCTTCTGTCCTCACAGTATCTGAAGATGGCCTCCTTGGTGATGAGTCTGTTGGTCCTTCTCATTTCATTCAGCACGGCCGTCATCCAGTCTTCCACGCGGCCCTCGGCCCGGATGATCTTCCGGAAGTTCATGACCTCTCCCTCGGCCGAGATCATGGCCGACACCAGCTTCTCCCCGCTATCCCCGTCATGGAAGCGCAGCATGGCTATGTTGTCGTACATCTGCAAGATGGCAGGAGACCCAGGTTGGGATGCTCGTAGGACGGCCGCTTTCCTACCAGGGTTGCCCCAGACAGACGTCCGTGCACCGGTGTCGAGTTTATCCGTCGGGACGGACAGACTACTTCGTCCGCACGGCGCAAACCAAAGATGGGTTTTCAGAGGCGTCACGGAGAGCTAAGTGTAAACATGGGGGCAACTGTGGTCCGGACACATGTGCGGCGGAGTGAGGAGCTGAACCTGGGGTGGAACTGAGGGCCTAGAGACGTGAGGTGCGGCCAGGTAACTCAGGTTCACTTGTTCTGCTCCCCGAAGCCTGAATGGAAACATCTTTAAAAGGTGAGGCTGGAGGCCGGCGGTAGTGGCGCACGCCTTTAATCCCAGCACTCGGGAGGCAGAGCCAGGCGGATCTCTGTGAGTTCGAGGCCAACCTGGGCTACCAAGTGAGTTCCAGGAAAGGCGCAAAACTGCACAGAGAAACCCTGTCTCAAAAAACCAAAATAAATAAATAAATAAATAAATAAATAAATAAATAAATAAATGGTGAGGCTGGGAACAAGCCGCAGCTGACAGGGCCCATAGTCACTGTCGCACACGCTGGCAGTGGCATCTGCGGCTGTAACGGAGCAAAAGAAAATTCCAGAACCTGAGTCCTTTGCCCCCCCCACCATGGAATAGCACCGATGCTGTGGATCAGGAAGGGAGGAGGGGGGGAGTGGCCAGCTGTAAAGAGGAAAAGGGGGGTGGGGGGAGGGCAGTTCCGGCATCCATTCTCTACAGCGGCCTGTTTGGAAATGGGGAATTAGCCTGGCACAGGGGGCAACCGGGAGGCTGAGGCAGGAAGATAGCCAGTACAGGCTAGCCTGGGCTAAATACCTCTGAAAAGAAGAACGGGGAGGACGAGGAGAGGGAGGGGAAAGGGAGAGGGAAAGAGCCTAACCCTTGAGAAGGGAAACATTTCATTTATAGAGAGATAGATAGATAGATAGATAGATAGATAGATAGATAGATAGATAGATAGATAGATAGATAGATAGATAGATAAAAGAATGTTTTAGCTGAACTTGGCTGCTGGCCCTGACACTAAGCCCTGACCCTTGATCATAAGCTCTGACATGAGTCATGTGCCCTGACCTTGACTATTTGCCCTGACATGCCCCCTGGGCCCCGACTCTCACCACGGGCCCTGACCTGCCCCCTGGGCCCCGACTCTCACCACGGGCCCTGACCTGCCCCCTGGGCCCTGGCCCTCAAGCCCTCACCTTGATCATGTGCTCCTGCACACACAGAGGGTCGCTGTTGCCCAAGATGCTGAGCAGCTCGTCGTCGGAGATGAAGAAGAACCTGGGGAAGGCGTTCCTCTTGGAGTCCAGGTAGTCGTTCAGGCTCTTCTGGCACTTCTCCAGACCCTCGCTGATGCCCTGCAGGTCATTGAGGCGGTTCGGGGCCTCACAGCATCGCTTGATCACCGGGTCTTTCAAAGTCTCCCCCATGATCTGCAGAAGGTCAGGAAGACGGCAGAGTGTCACCCGAGGTGGCAGAAATGCAGTCCCCACAGTCCCCAGAAGGCACAGGTCAGGACACAAAAGGCACGGCAGGCAGGCAGGCAGGAAGGAAGGCCACAGCCTCAGGCAGTGCATCCCGGCAGCAGCTGATTCTTATTTCTGCTCTGTCTCTGGTCTTCCCATTAAGAGGCCGACTGCTCAAGGAGGGATTGTGTGTGTGGTCATGCAGTACCCCACCCCGCTGCAACAGTGCTGCATACAGCAGGTGCTTATCCAATGCCTAAGAAAGGAGTGAAGCGGGGCCTGGTGATGCATGCCTTTAATCCCAGCACTCGGGAGGCAGAGCCAGGCGGATCTCTGTGAGTTCGAGGCCAGCCTGGGCTACAGAGTGAGTTCCAGGAAAGGCGC